CCGTAAAAAGCTCCCATCCAGATATTCAAGCGGTGACTTTTTGCCCCGCCACTGATGATACTCTTAAGTTCACAATAATCAACGTATACTACTCCCCAGAGCAGTCATCCTACAAAAAGAGACTGAAAAACAGCAATGGTGGACCATCCCAGTCAACACTCGAATCCATTATTGACTTTGTTGCTGAAAACACAGATCTCGGCGAGAAACTGGTTCTAGGAGACTTCAATGCAAGAACAGGGGACCTCAACTTTAACTTTGATGATGAACCTCCAGCTGACATCGAGGCTTTCTCAACAATCGCAAGCTTTCCAGAAAAATCAACAAGATCAAGCAAAGACTCTGTGATAAACCCAAGGGGAAAACTCTTTCTGGACTTCATATCCAGTCTGAACCTTAGCATTCTTAATGGTGATACACTAGGAGACATCTTTGGGGAACCCACCTCAATTAATTACAATGGATACAGCGTTGTAGACTACGTAACAGCATCCCCCATGCTAAGGGAATCGGTGCAAAGTCTTAAGGTCTTAGATCTTACGAAATTCTCAGACCACCGCCCATGCTTATGCACACTGAAACTGAGTCATAATTATATAATTGATCCGGACGAAATTCTATCCTCACTCCAGCCAGCCCCAATAAAACACAAATGGGACGAGAATGCTTCAGAGAATAAACAGCAGTTCCTAGATGTCCAAAAAGAACCCCAGTTTGCAAGCAGAATCGCGGAACTGGTTGAAGCTGTTTGCGTAAAAAAGGAGGATGTCATTAAGCTCAATGAAAACATCGTCGGCATTTATCGTGATATGGCTGATCAGGCCCTACCAAGACCTAGAAAACATAAACAAAAACCCCTCAATAGGAAAACTCGGGGATACAAAAGGGCAAAACCGAAGTCTCCATGGTTTGATATTGCCTGCATCATCGAAAAACTAAATCGATTAGCTAAAACATACGGTAAAAGTCCTCTTGATAAAGAACTGAGAGACAGCTACTACAACAAACGCCGCGAATACCGAAAGCTCGTGAGACAGAAGAAGGCCAAGTTCGTGGAATCTCTTTGTCGTGATGTTGACGAGGGGCGCGACATAAACTGGAGTCGCTTTAAGAAACTTAAAAGCTTCTCCTCAAATGGCTCAAAGCTGGACGTTTTCGATATGATGAACTTCTGTAAATTCTTCAAAGAGCTGTACTCAAAACCTTCCATCCCGAATGAAGAAACTGCTGACTTCACGGAACGCAGAAAGACTGAACTTCGTGTTCATGAACTCGTGGAAGTTCTGGACAAAGATATCGAAATAGAGGAACTTCGGACCGCCATCAAAGGCCTTAAGAAAGGGAAAGCCATCGCCGAAGATAAAATCCTGAATGAGTTCCTCATTTCGTCAGATGAACCAATGCTGTCAGCTGTTCTCAACCTGTTCAACCACTGTTTGAAACTCGGGGAGTATCCATGGACGACCTCTCTAGTTACCCCCTTGCACAAAAAGGGGAGTGTATACGATCCGAACAACTACCGGGCGATAGCCGTGGCGAGCAATGTTGGGAAGCTGTTTTCAACTATCTTATTACAGCGCCTACTCACATTCCGGTCACTGAACTGTCCAGACACCATAAACCAGCTAGGGTTCTGTAAAAAAGCACAGACGAGTGACCACATACTAACACTCTCAACTTGCATCCAAAAGTATGTAACGCAACGGAAAAAGAGGCTATATGGATGCTTCGTCGACTACGCGAAGGCGTTCGACTCTGTGTGCCGAGATGCCATGCTCTATAAACTCTGGGAGCTAGGAGTAAAAGGTCGATACTTTCAATGTATCGAGCAGATGTATTCACATTCCTCAGCAAAAATCAAACTGTTGAACAGATTGTCAGAGACAATCGACATTCACTGTGGGACTGAGCAAGGTCACCCGATGTCTCCTGAGCTGTTCAAGTGTTTCATCCACCAACTCTCCCTAGATCTGGATAACGCTGAGGAAGTCAACGTCCCTGAACTGAATAATGTTAATATCACTCATCTCCTCTGGGCTGATGATCTTATACTTCTTGCCCTTGACCATACTGGACTACAGAAACTTCTAAACGTTTTACACAGTTACTGTATCGAATGGGGACTAACCGTTAACATCGGAAAAACGGCAGTGATGGTGTTCAACCGTTCCGGGAGGCTCCTTAAAGAGAGTCTGACATTCCAACTCGGCGAAACCAACATCACATCAGTTCGAGAATATTGCTACCTCGGGATAACCTTCACCCTCAACGGTTCTTCAGCAGTAGCACAGAACAAACTGAAGCAAAAAGGTCTCAGAAGCTACTTCACGCTAAAAAGCAGTATTGACTTAAGACACTTCAGTCGAACAATCGTATTCAAGCTATTCGACGCGCTTGTGGTACCGATTGTGACATACGGATGTCAGGTGTGGCTCCCAGAGACTCTCTTTGTCAGAAACTATCAAGATAATATCAACACCAAATCTCTCCTGAAGGAGACTGCAAGAGATCCTCTCGAAAAGCTTCATCTCTCATTCCTCAAGTGGACCTTAGGAGTGGGCAGAAAAACCTCAAATGCGAGTGTATGGGGTGATACAGGCCGCTGCCCCCTAGTGATAAAGGCATCAAAGCAAGTATTTGGGTATTTCAACCGACTTGAGCAAATGGACAGAGCTGGTTGCACAAGTCTAGCCAGACAGGCGTTCATAGAACAACGCACACTCAATCTGCCATGGTACAAAGGTATAGAAGATCTCCGACAAAGCCTTCAGTCAGTATCATCTCGCAGGTTGACCTACCCCAACCAATTCAAAACAGCACTACGTAGTACTTTTATTAACTGTTGGAACGATGAGCGGCAAAACAACCGGAAGCTCAGTTTCTACAACACTATCAAAAGTGAATTTACAGCTGAAGCGTACCTGAACCTGCAGCTCAGTGGAGAAGAGGTGAAGCGGCTGGCGCAGTTCAGAATGAGTGCTCATAAGTTCAATATCGAGACCGGTAGATACGCCATCAACCGTGAAAATCCGCTCAGTCGCATTTGTAAGCACTGTTCTTCATCAGACCTTGAAGCTGTCGGTATACTGGCCGAACTACCAATGTTTGAGCCGATCATTGAAGATGAGAAACACGTTCTCACGGATTGTTCGCTTTACGACGACCTGAGGCGAAACATAGGTCAGCAGGCGAGAACCATGATCACCTCTGGAGCGGAGACCTTTGCCGACCTCTTCAAGGATATCCTATTGATCAGAGAAACTGCCAGATTCTTGAGTAAAGTGAACAAGCGGAGGTTCCCCCCGAGTGACAGAAAAGAAAAGGAAGGACCTACAACATGACTCACGGACTCAACATGCGAAACGTGGATCCGACAGTGTGTTATTTTTCGTGTGCGTTTCACACTTTTGATTTAGTGTGGAATTTATGTGTGGATCTTAGGCATGGACACAAAGGACTGGTTGTTCGCGTCATGAACATTCCTTTTTAGAATAGCTCGGTTTTTAAACTCTTTAGACTATAACCGTCAACCGTGCATTTTTCAGGACAGGTTTCGGTTTTTTCGTTTTTGACTTTCATTTTATCTTTATTTTTTAAAATTTAGATCCGACACAATGTTTATTGTAATGATCATTTTATTTTTATTTTGAAATCCTTGAAATCCTATATTTACTAATCCACAGTTCAAATCTTTGACTGACTGCAGTCATAAACACAGCCCAGTTACCAGGCGACCATGGGGACTAGGGGGCTTATCTTTTTTCTGGGGTTCGATTTTTTCCGGGGGGGGGGGGGGGGGGGGGGGCTGCCGCCCCCCTAGCCCCCCCCCCCCTGGCTACGTGCCTGAAAAGACGTTGCTTTAAGCTGTAACACAATGTTTGATAATTGGATATGCCTCAAATTATTTTTCGGACAGATTCTTTGAAAATTTATCAGTAAGCTTACCAATTTTTGTTAAAATTGGACTGAGGGAAGGTTATTTAATGTGCATTTGTTCGAAGAAATTGTTATTTGCTGCTCAGAGTCAGCCTGTCATAAGTAATAAGTCATTCCGCCTAATCTCTATTTCATGATTATGAACATAAATATACATGTAATAGCCTGAGGTCCCCAGGTAATCTAGGTAAACTATAGGTAAAAATATAATATTAATCATAGGCTAAAATGTACTAATCTTTGTATTCTAAATGGGGAAAAAGAAGAAACATTGTCAGTCAGTCGAGAAAATTGTCAGTCAGGCTATATGGCAGCTTTGTAGATGTTGTGACTATGCTAGTAGTGGTCCCAGGCTTGCGACTGGAATTGCGGTGTTAAATCGATTTAATGGTATACCAACGATCCACCTCCCACTTGTTGTTTGGTACTTAGCATTAATAGTGTTAGCTGTAGCCATTTATAGCAAGAACCTTAAAACTAAAGGGGATGACAAGGAAAAGAGGAAGGAAAAAGAATAACGGAACAAACAATTAATTAAAGTATTTATAGGAGCATTAGATATTGTAATTACAAGCTTCAATAATAAATCACTGACTAAAACTTCTAATTAAAATGACACTTGGTACGCTCGCCCATTTTCACTGGTCAGTCTGAACTTCGGTTTAGCACGTTGTACACTTATTCACCTAATTTTAAGGAAATAAGTATAAGCTCTATTTTGAATATTTATCTATGATATTTTAATTTTGTGTGAGTTTTGACTTTTCATAAATAATAATTATGTCATATATTTTGAGTAAACATTGGCTGGTAATACAGGCCTAGCCCCCAACTAAAGCATTAAATTGCTTTATATCAGATCTACTGATTTACTCAAAACTAGTTTGTTATATTATTATTGTTAGGTCAATAATACAGTAGTTTTTAACTGATATGCATGGAGTTCAAGAAAGCTGGATTTAATTTTTAAATGATTTGTTAAATTTTCTTGACGCACCAAGGTCAGTTTAGCCTTCCGCTTCGAATTTCGTTTAATATAATTTTTATGAATTTCCACTTTTCAGAATGAACATGTCTACAATGATCACTGCTTTGGCGCTTTTGGCAGTCAGTGCAGTTTCTGGAAAAGGTAGGAAAACAGCCAAATAATGTTTGTTGTTTTAAAATTTGATAATCATATCTTTAAGGGGCCGGGGGGGGGGGGGGTCTTCATCAATATTATCTCGAAATTGATTTTATAGTTGTTTCTGATAAAGGGGAGTGATATCTTTCAGCTGTTTTTGGTCCCATGGAAAAGTATTTTTCCTAGCCAAAATTATCGCCAGCCAAAGGTCAGCGCTTATGTGTAATTGTATTGCGCGAGCGATTTTCAATCGCGCGCCCTAAAAATCGAGTCTAAAAATCTATCTTCTCCTACATTTTTAAAGCAATCACCCTGAAACTTTCAAGATGTGTTCTATGGAGTATGGATCATTTAGAGGATATCTGTCGAGCCGAATTTTGAGATAGGCCTTAGAAGATTTTTATTCAATTTTGAAAATCTTAAACCTCATTTTTTGACGATTTTTTCAGGTCCAAGATTTTCAAAATTGAATAAAAAATCTTCTAAGGCCTATCTCTAAATTCGGATTCAGGGTTGGCATACTGATGAATCCTAATAGGACGAAACACTGTGTCTATGGATAAATATATATATACATATAATACATATATAATGTTTGAAAAGCATTAATATGTATAAATATTAATGATTTTCAAACAAAGTTACAACGAATTCTTCATGTAGTGCATCCTTGGTTTGGACAGGATATGCCCGTTTAAAATATTTCCATCACGTTACGTTCGGCTTATTTTTCAGACCCCGAATGTCCTGCTTCCCATCCCAACGCATACAGTGACGGACGGTACTGTTGTAAATCGAACAAGGAGAAGTACTACGGTCCACTTGGTAGCAAGTGTGATGGCAGTGTGATTCAGAGAGACAGTAAATGCTGCGAGGGAGACCAGTACACGAGGTGTCGCAGTGGAAACTGCCAAAGTTACTCGGGTGGGTGATTTTGAATTCATTAAATCAATTTTAAGAATTATTGATATCAATAATGAACCTTGACGAATTTTCTTTAAAACATCAAAAAGTTACCAAAAAACTGATTCCTAGCACGAAGTTGAACCAAATGAAATTGCAAACTTGCGACTTTAGCAAGGTTAATTTTTTCCCTACTCTTGCCGAAGGCAAAAAGATCGTAGGGAATAAGTAATCGGGTTTAGATATATGAGGTGGCCCGATGGACCTGCGATGACGACAAAAGTCTGCTCCTTCGCAATACAGACCACTTCCCTATAATTATGTGTATTGGAAGCGTCTGTTATGCTGCGCGCGACCCTACTAGCCACGTGTTAATTAATTACAGTGAAGTACCTCCTTCGCAAAGTTATTTTCCGCAATTTTCTGGATTTATTTATTGTTGATGCGCGCGGCGCTACATTGCATGGTCAAATAAATCGTATGTAAATATGCTGCTGCACTTTTTTCCAGTCACACTTTTCACTCGAAAGAATTGATTATAGTTATACAAGATACAAGTACATCGTAGGGAAAATGGCTCTTACTAAATCGCTCGCCCAAAAATTTCAAGTGACCTTGGTTTTTTTGGATTTGCAACCGTACAAAACGGTTTTACATAAACTCTAATCCCAACCCTAACCCTAACCATAACCCCGAAGCTATCCATAATCTTAACCACAACTCTAACCCTACCCGAGCCCTAAATAATCGAATTCACGTTTTACTAGCCTGTCACGTGACCAAAACGGTTTTTTGCCCATAACTCTCCAGAGAAGCATTTTAATCCTACGTCATGGGGGGTGATTCGGAATCAGCGTCCAAAAATACACCGATCTAGATCACTTTCATGCCCAAAGGGCCTTCTCACAAGAATTTTCTTAAAATTGGGCGAGCGATTTAGTAGGAGCGAGGGAAAATGGATCGTGCGTGGTTTATATATTAACCGCGGCGAAATTCTTATTATAAATGCAGATTAAAATTGTTTTTCAACATTTGTATTTAAATACACAAACAGGAGAACCTCTCGAATGTCCTGCTTCCCATCCTAACGCATACAGTAACGGACGGTACTGTTGTAAATCGAACAAGGAGAAGTACTACGGTCCACATGGTAGCAAGTGTGATGGCAGTGTGATTCAGAGAGACAGTGAATGCTGCGAGGGAGACCAGCACACGACGTGTCCCAATGGAAACTGCCAAAGTTACTCGGGTGGGTGATTTTGGATTCATTAAATCAATTTTAAGAATCATTGATATCAATAATATAATGAACCTTATATAATGAACCTTGACGAATTTTCTTTAAAACATCAAAAATTTACCAAAAAACTGATTCCTAGCACGAAGTTGAACCAAATGAAATTGCAAACTTGCAATTTTAGAAACAAGAAAGGTTAATTTTTATAAACGCAGATTAAAATTGTATTTCAACATTTGTATTTAAATAAACAAACAGGAGAACCTCTCGAATGTCCTGCTTCCCATCCCAACGCATACAGTAACGGACGGTACTGTTGTAAATCGAACAAGGAGAAGTACTACGGTCCACATGGTAGCAAGTGTGATGGCAGTGTGATTCAGAGAGACAGTGAATGCTGCGAGGGAGACCAGCACACGACGTGTCCCAATGGAAACTGCCAAAGTTACTCGGGTGGGTGATTTTTGATTCATTAAATCAATTTTAAGAATCATTGATATCAATAATGAACCTTGACGAATTTTCTTTAAAACACAAAAAATTTATTAAAAAACTGATTCCTAGCACGAAGTTGAACCAAATGAAATCGCAAACTTGCGATTTTAGCATTGACTGTAATTGTTAATGGTCTGGCCCGGCGCGCGCTATTTCGTAGTAGGGGGTGCACCATAAAAATAAACTTGCTCGGATTTTAAAAATTTTTGTACCATTGTTTTCTAGAGACTGTGAGAATTTTCACAGTACCAAATTTGTCATACCTTTTTGGAAAGATCAGTGAGTTTCGCCTAGGTGCCATATTTGATGGTGCGCGGCTTTTGGAGCAAAATTAGCTGTAAAAGTCGCGTAATTTGACCAAATTTGACCAAATTCGTTGATTTTTGTCGTATTATTTGGATATATCTTCAGTTCCTTGAATGAGATCATTCTGAAAATTGGCGACGACCTTCCAATAGGGCTGTCACAACTGTTCGAAAAATTTGGTGGATATCGGAGTTGATATAGTGATCAAAATGGGGCAAAATACGCTGCTTTTAGCTGTAACATTATGTCTGATGGTTGGATATGCTTTAAACTTTTCGGACACCTTCCTTGTAAGTCTATAAGTAAGCTTACCAATTTTTGTTGCAATTGGAGGTCGGGAAGGATACTTAATATCTATTTGTTTGAAGAAAATTGTGCTGGCCGAAATTAGCGCTAAAAAACCATCCTACAGTCGGCACGCGCGGCTCACTGTCGATGGCGCACTACCTATTCGTAGCACTTGCCGTCGAGAAGAAAGCGGCGCGCGCTACTTCGAAGAAATTTAGACGAGTAACATCCGTCAATTTTAGCAAGGTTAATTTTTTCCCGATCCATGACTCAAAATGCCGAAGGCACAAAAGAGTCAAGGACAAGGGTTAGCAAACGAGTTTTTAAAATATGGTATTGGTACCTTTGCGCCCGTGCGCGCGTGCCTGCGAGCGTACATACGTGCCCGCGCGCCAATATGCCGCCCACGTTCTTAACTACCCTGCACAACGTTATTTTGCGAGATATTCTGAATTAAATAATTGTTGTCGCTCGGCGCTGAACTGACCAAGTAAATTGTTAATTTCACTTTTTAGGTTTACAACCTACCAGGACGCGCGCCGAGTTGAAACAAATATTTTACGAGTATCACCCGTTAAATTTCAACATGTTATGTCGTGTACGTACGTATCCCACTAAGCACTGTACTTATTGATAGCATATTGTTAATGTTAATGTTATTATTGTTAGTATCACTATTTTGCACAGATCCACGCTGGTTGCATAAATAGTCTATGCAATAAGCGCCATGAGTTGGCACAGAATTTTTTGTCTCTGATTTTGATAAATTTGGTACCAAAAGTTGCCTCTAAGTGTGAATAATGCAAATTCACCGTGTAGCAAAATAACGTCGAGCTATATGTGGGCCTCCTGTGCATTACAAGAATGTACAAAGGACGAAAAATGGGTAATTTATTGCTTAAAATGCCTATAACTCCTAAAATATTGAATATTTTGAAATAATTATTACAGTATCGTAATGAACTTAGTCAGACGCAACTTTTGGTACCAAAATTATAATATTTTAAGCACCAAATTTTTCAAAAATTTGTTCAAAATTTCACACAAGGGGGGACCCTTGTGTTCAGATTGAAAAATTTTGAGAATAATTTTCCTTTAAATCTTAAAATATTAGTACTAAAAGTTTCGTCTCGATGAGCTGATTACGATGCCATAATAATTATGTGATAATAACTGAAAATGTGAAAGTTATAGGCCAAAAACTAAAAATTTGCGCAAAAAAAGCACGCGCGGCAAACAAGCGCCGTGTAGCATTTTTAGCGAAAATTGCTACACGGTGGATTTATTTTATTCACATTTTTAGACAAATTTTGGTACCAAATTTATCGAAATCGGAGAAAAAAAGTTCTGTGCTCGCGCTTGGCGCTTATTACACTGACTAAAACAATAAAATTAAACAATAAACATATGGTTAGTGTTACACGATTTTCAACTTCAATATGGAATTAACTGGGTGGCGCTCGGCCTGTCACTCCGCTGGCGCTATTATATCTGCATACTTATAAACAGCAAAGACTGGGGACCCAGGTTATATTGAATATAATAAAATAAGCCATTACGGATCGGGAAATTGAGCGGCAATCCACAAAAGAAAAGCGGCCGCATTTCTTGTTATAATTGCAGATTAAAATTGTATTTCAACATTTGTATTTAAATACACAAACAGGAGAACCTCTCGAATGTCCTGCTTCCCATCCCTACGCCTACAGTGACGGACAGTACTGTTGTAAATCGAACAAGGAAAAGTACTACGGTCCACAGGGTAGCAAGTGTGATGGCAGTGTGATTCAGAGAGACAGTAAATGCTGCGAGGGAGACCAGTACAGGACGTGTCCCAATGGAAACTGTGAGAACTACCAAGGTGCGAGTGACCTTAGAAGTGTTAAAACAATTTAAAGAATCGTATATATATAAATAGTTTGTAGCTGTACTTCTACAAATTAAAAACCTGTATTGAAATATAAATATAATAAATATATACACTATGTATTCCTCGATATTATTCCTTATTACTTTTCTTATCAATCTCACAAAATGAGTATTTTAGCAGTTTGTGAGATTTAGCTTCACTGTAAGTAAAATAAGTTCATTCTATTAAAACGCATTAATTTAAAAAACTCTTTTTTAAAGAGGTCTGTGGATGTGACAACATCAATGGCGATGACTACGAAGCTACTGACATCGAATACGACATGGATAATAAAATTGTTACTGCAGTTCGGCCTGATTTCATTGTGTAAGTTTCGCAGTTTACGAAATAGTGAAATCGAATTAATTACTGTCAGACTTTATATAATTGTTTAATCACTTATTACATTTATATGTAATAAGGTTATACAAAAATTACAAATCGGTTCAAATTTCAGTAATAAGGAGTTGACAAATAGAGGTAGCAGAGATCTGGTAGTCCCATTGTCCCAACAAGTTGAGGTTTGGAAGATGATGGAGTTCTCCCATACTTCTGGTGCCACCGTCAAAGTAGGCACCTCATTCAATGTTGGAGTTCCAGGATTAGGCGGTGTTGGTGTTTCTGCTGAAGTTAGCGGATCATATTCGTTCAGTTCAGGTAACAAGCGTAATTTAATGAACCTTATATTATTTTCAAAGCGCTTAAAATCCAATTTTCTTTTACTTTTACTTTTAGCTAGATACGTATTATGTATTATGCTAGCATAATCACTTAGTCATTAGTTTGAATTTTCAATCTACAAGATCGTGCTAACAAACTTCATTTCCTCTTTTCGCCAACTTACCACACCTATACAATAACTATTTTATGTGCTGATAATCTATTTTGCAGGGGAGCAAACAACTACAAAAAAAATTATAACGGTGAAGTTTTCGTGCACCGCTCCGCCTAAGAAGAGGGCGGTATGCAATGCTATGATGCGCAAGGACAAGGTTTCCATTCCTTATGTGATGACATGGACTCACAAAAGATTGAACGGTGCGTTAGATTAAATACTACGCAAATCCATAGTAAGGTCAAGCTGTGTTTTACAAATTCAAGACGCCCGAACAGCTGGAAGTCTTAATTAATTTTATTGACAATCCTACGCTATCTAAGCTTAAATTCAAAATGCATGAACAGGACCGTTTTTGTTTTCAACTACTTAGAATTTAAATATTGTTAGTTTGATATTTTTTAGGTTGCACTTGCACAGAAGAGGGATTGTTTGAAGAATTGGTGTCTAACAATGTTGAAATGGATGTTCAAGAGTACGACCTCAACACGAAGAAAATGATTCGAACAAAGCGTGAGGAAATCCTCGACCTCCAGACAATTTGAGAATTGCGACCGGAAGTAATAATTATTTTTATTTTGCGCTGTGGTTATATTATTATATGATTTCAGTCATAGAAGAAGCAGTATAGTACTCATGCTTTATAGTTTTATTGACACATTATCGAATTCGTTGGACATAGAAAAATCAATAAATCAAATTATAATTTTGTTTATCAATCATGAAAATAACCCAGGTGAGTAGAGACAGTGAGGATTTCTGGAACGTTTGAGGACAAGAACATATTTAGATTAGACGATAAAAAGATTAAAAGATTAGAAGATTTGAAGATTAGAAGATTATAAGATTTCATTTGAATTTTGATCAATTTTTCCTTCCTTTAGACTTGAGTTTTCATTCGATACTGTGACCAGTATGTGTCCCCCTTTCCCTCTCTAACTCAAACTGGGAGGATGTATTCAATATTGTCACTTTATAACATTACATTCCAACCAAGGACTAAGCCAAACTACGCAAAATCGTGGCGAAAATCTTGAAAATAACGGCAAATTCGAAGCGAAAGATAATTTATTTGCAGAGCTCGTAAGTCTAGCTCCAGAAATTTCCACGGTTCTTCAAGTAAAAAAGTTGTTCTTAGGCACGTAGTTCTGGGACAAGTAGTCCTATCATGGCATATTATGGTTATCTGACAGAATGAGGTTTAAATCACTTTACATTAATAACTCTGTTGAGTTATAGTGGCAAAACTATGCAGCTCAGTGGCTTTTTGTGGGCGACTTGGAGGTGGCGGCATGTTTCCAGTATTGTGGCATCCTTTGTATAAGATTTATACTATCACTATGTTCGTAGAAATATTTCCATTACCCTCATGAGCTGTTGTCCATATTGAGTTCGCTAACTAACCTATGCCTAACCTAGGGGGTGCACCATAAAAATAAACTTGCTCGGATTTTAAAAATTTTTGTACCATTGTTTTCTAGAGACTGTGAGAAATTTCACAATACCAAATTTGTCATACCTTTTTGGAAAGATCAGTGAGTTTTGCCTAGATGCCATATTTGATGGTGCGCGGCTTTTGGAGCAAAATTAGCTGTAAAAGTCGCGTAATTTGACCAAATTTGACCAAATTCGTTGATTTTTGTCGTATTATTTGGATATATCTTCAGTTCCTTGCATGAGATCATTCTGAAAATTGGCGACGACCTTCCAATAGGGCTTTCACAACTGTCCGAAAAATTTGGTGGATATCGGAGTTGATATAGTGATAAAAATGGGGCAAAATACGCTGCTTTTAGCTGTAACATAATGTCTGATGGTTGGATATGCTTTAAACTTTTCGGACATTTTCCTTGTAAGTCTATGAGTAAGCTTACCAATTTTTGTTGCAATCGGAGGTCGGGAAGATACTTAATATTTATTTGTTTGAAGAAAATTGTGCTGGCCGAAATTAGCGCTAAAAAACCATCCTACAGTCGGCACGCGCGGCTCACTGTCGATGGCGCACTACCTACCTAACCGCTCCTACTAAATCGCTCGCCCAAATTTTGAGAAAATTCTTGTGAAAAGGCCCTTTGGGCATGATCGGTGTATTTTTGACGCTGATTTCGAATCACCCGCCATGACGTAGGGTTAAAATGCTTCCCTGGAGAGTTAAGGGCAAAAAACCGTTTTGGTCACGTGACAGGCTAGTAAAACGTGAATTCGATTATTTGGGGCTCGGGTTAGGGTTGTGGTTAAGATTATGGATAGCTTCGGGGTTATGGTTAGGGCCAGGGTTGGGATTAGGGTTTATGTAAAATCGTTTTGTACGGCTGCAAAACCAAAAAAACTAAAGTCACGTGAAATTTTTGGGCGAGCGATTTAGTAAAAGCCTTATTACTATTAGCTAGCATACATATAAAAATATTAAATTAGTATAGCTGCGAATGACAGGCTGAGAGCGGCCGAGTATTGAGTAATCTTACCATGTATAAAGTTAAGCGAGACGATTAGATATATATGAATGGATGGATCCGTACCATTTTACTGACACCACGGCATCAACTTTAACGCGGCTTTCCGCAAAAACCGTAAAAGATATACAACTGAAACTTTTTTGACTGGGTCAAATGTTTTAATGGCCTCCAATTCAGCATGGAAAAATAAAAAATTTGCCAAGGAAAAGGAGTGTTAGAGCCCAAAATTTGGAACCCCAAGGGGTGTCAAAAACGCGAATTAAATAAATAATGATTATTATAGTCTCTTGAGCTCTGATCATAGGAGGGGCTAAGTGCAAAGAAACTGCTGCTCACTGCTGCTCACTGCTGCTCACTGCTGCTCACTGACAGCTTTTTTGCACTTAGCCCCGCATGTGTGATTTTGAGTCTTGACACCATTTTAGGGTTATGCGGGTTCCTGCTAGTAATTTAACTATAACTAATAATTGATGTCAATTCTTCGCAACTCGGCGAGGCATGCAGTAGCGCATTTTGCCAATCTAGCGAGGTTGCGAGAAGAATAATTGAGTGCGCACGGCCCAGTAACACATCGCACTACAAAACAAAAAGCAGGGGTTCCAGAAAACTTTGCATTTTGCGCAAATTTCTTTAAAATGCTTGTAATGTATACATAAATTTTTTTAAAACTTGTAAATCTTATTATATTGAAATGCAGACGGTATATAATATGTGTTACTATTTTAATAACACCAAGACATCAACTTTAACATTAACGGGTGATACTCGTAAAATATTTGTTCCATATATCTACCGTCGACTTACCTGAGGACCCCAGGCTATTATGTTCATTAACATATATATACAAATAAAGATTTGGCGGAATGACAGGCTGAGCGCGGCCCAGTAACCGTCGACGAGTCCAACTCGGCACGCGTCCTGATAGGTTGTAAACTTTAACACGACTTTCCGCAAAAAACCGTATAAGATATACAACTTAAAATTTTTTACTGGTTTAAATGCTGTAAGATCAGCACGAAAGAAATAAAAAATTGGCCAAGGAATAAAAATTGTAGTGCCCAAAATTTGGATTCCCAAGTGGTGTCAAAAACTTGAATTAAATAGGTAATAAATATTTTAGTCTCTTGATAATAATGTTGTAGCGCGATGCGTTACTGTGCCGCGCTCTGCGCACTCAATGAGGCTTCTCACAGCGACATCGGCGAGATGCGCTATTGTGCCGCGCCGAGCTGCCATGAATTGACATCGTCAATTAAATAATAATGATGATAAATTAATGTTATTTTCATACAGCACCAAAAGGTTAAATATTTTAAATTTAACCCTTATGCTCAGCTAAGCTAAGCTGTAAATGATACTTAAATTAACGAGAGTGTGCATTTTGAATCTAGACACCACTTTAGGGTCAGACAGGTTCCTGCTAAAAAATGTAATTACAGAGGTAGTTTCGATAATACGTTCATGACAAGATATGGGGCTGCTACAAGTTAAATTTTGCTGAAATACTATTACTGGGCCGCGCTCAGCCTGTCATTCCGCCAAATCTTTATTTGTTAATGAACATAAATAGCCTGGGGTCCCCAGGTAAAAATACTACAGCTTTTGCAATGTTAAATAATTTAGTTAGTCTAGCCAGTCTAGCCAGTCATTTGGTTACTTTTATAGATGATTTGAGGTGATTGGGCTTACAGGTGAAATGTGCTAAAATTAAATTTCTTGTTTCATTGAATTTCTTGTTTCATTGAGTTAGCATGAGATCTTGCTGTACTGTGTTCCATATTTTCCTTGGGCTGTATATTTATGTTAGGTAATTGGTAATAGGATTGCATAATTATGATTAAGATAATATGGAACAGGACACAGGTGGTTTGATCGTGACCTATCTAGGACCATTAGGGTCGGTTCATTCAAGCCTGCATTTAAGTGACCGCTCTAAATTTAAATAAAGTAAAAGAGATGCGGGCAAAATATACTGGAATTTTACCATTGTGCATTGGTCGACTTCTAGGCAAGGTAGCCGTCCATTGGTTGTAAGTCATGTGACCTAGGTCACATGACCATAGCAGGTGGACTAAGCCTCATTTAACACCGGTCAGCTCGTGCACTAACATTAGTTTGACGTAAAAATAGTAATTAATACCTGCACGGCAGGTAATATAAATGCATATGTTTCGTGTAGTAAAAGTTAGTTTTATTTTAAACCACTTTTAAACCACTAGCCCTAACATAACGATCAAGCCACAAATTAGGTTCTATAATGATTTAATATTGTTGAATAAAGAGATTTGAATATAATATTTGTTTTATTCTGAATATTTGTTTTATTCTGACTTCTCCTAAACTGTTGTTTCCGTTGTTCCCAAAACAATACAAGAGAAGAACCCCGTTAACATGTAGCTGTCTTATGGTTTATGTGTAAGAATGAGTGTCTCTTTGCCAAGTATAGTGTATACCAGATATTTCAAAGAGGGAGTATAGTGATATATGGGTTCTATATTTCAATACCTTGAAGATATGTGTGAAGAGGTGAAAGGTTTCGAAGTTGGTACTGTTTCGGCGGAATGACAGGCTGAGGGCCCCGCAGTGAGGTTTTTGAGGCATCTGAATAGGACAATTTTGGGTTTAGTATAAATAAAACAGTGCTGGCATATTTTGTGCAAATTTCTTAAAAATCGCCACATTACCATTTCTTATTCCTGTTATCTTTGACATTGAATTATAATGTTTTGAACTTAAAATATGCCTTCTGAACGAATTTTGAAAAGTTAATGCCTGGAAAAACAGTTAAGGAGGTATAATAATATTCAGTAACAAAATTCTTATGAAAAGGCTGTGTAGGTATATTTATAATATGTTATTTAAATTCCTGCCAAAAACTATACCATTCATTTATTTTATATTACTTTATATCATATCTTCATGCTTCACAAAATCAGTTGGATCTGGAAATTGGAATAATGATTATAATATTAGTACTGTTCAATGAAAATTGTCTCCAATAGTTTTTGTCATATCTCCGGCATGTGCAAGGATTTTGTCAGTGCTAGCGCACAACATTGACACGGAACTTGTTAACCAGCCTGGTAGAAACATATATGCTGTCCAAACAGTCATGAGTAGTACAGTGATCATCGTAATATTGAACAGCTTTCTCTCCCATGGCTCCAGACAATAAGAGCCTGTAAATTGATTGAAGATAATTTATATTAGTTGGTTTTATGTTTTGCTGTTTAAGTTTCTGTTGATGTGTTGAAATCATTTTTGTTAATGTTGTCATCGATACATGCACTGAAATATAGTTGCAAACCTGTCCAAATGTTGTATCTGACGGTTAGAATCCAAAAGAAATAGTGTATACCTCCTCGCTCGGGGACATACTCTTCCTCCATTCCAGGCATGGCTAAGTTATTTAAAAAATTAACTATTCAAGTAATGTATCTAATGTGCTAAATACATCTTTTCGTCAAAAAATATTATCTCAATTTACAGCTATGCATTTAAACAATAACCCTAGTTATTCGTATAAATGAGTTATTCTAAAAGAATTTGAAGAAGAAAGGGGCTATAACCCATAACTCCTTGCTTTGGAGTGAAGATACTGGTGCTTCACAGTTCTTTTCTTCCGGGGAGAGTTAGACCATACTGGATCAAACTTCCTCCGGATGTCAAGAGCTCTGAGACAGTTCTAAGTTTCAAAGTTAATTTGTAAGGATTTAAGAAAGATATGATTTCTGAAAGTTTTGTAAATAAATTTTATATTTTGGAATGTTTTTAATGAAGTTATATTGGGAAGAATTGTGGGAACCAATTATGTTAATAATGAAGAAAAGCATAACTAATATCTTTGGTTTAAAACCCAAGTTGCTAAAAAATATTTTGATAACGTTTTGATAACGTTTTGATACCTTATTAAAATCTTTGCTTTATTAATGAATTGAATTTTTACAACAAGACAGCTTCAGATAATATACCATGTCCATACGATTTATCAAACATATAAATCAACTGAAAACCTTTTTTCAAGTTCAACGAGCTTGATATGATATCTAAAAATAATAGATTTAGAATATTTTTACTTAGGAATCGTTCACATATTAAGTAAACAAAATTTGGCCATCTTAGACTGCCCAGTACCCTCCCAAATATAGCAATTGTTTAGTGATAATCTTTGCCAAACCCTCTCTTCCTAGGATGGCTCACTTAATGTGTTAATTAAAAAATAAATACCTTTACAAACAGCACCTCGTGTCTTTTGCTTTCTTTTAGTTGTTCAATATTATTGTTCAGATAAGTGAATTCTCTCTTACATCCGTTCTTTGACCCTTCGTTCATTCTCAAAAAAGGGTTCAGCCATCTGTGGTAGCATGTCTTTAACTGAAGCACTGCTTTTGCAAGAGTGCTTTGTAATGCCTTACCATGAATTTTTGTGGTAAGTAATCAGATTATCCCACTATCTTTCGAAATACTTTTTAATGTCAAACAATATCTTTGGCTGTTTTCGTTTAAACCAGCGAAGAAGCCCCTCCGGAATGTATCCCCCTGGTTCCATTTTCACAACATACACAACGCTGGACATCCCCGTTTCTGGGAGTGGTTCTATGATGAATCCAGTCTCATACATTGTGCCCCGTATGATTTGGGGGTCAACTGGGCACTTGGGATGTGTACAGGAAGCGTGCGCCAAGATCCTTTTGTCTCCCTCCCTTCTGTCGTATTGAAAGTACAGAAAGTCCCGGCCATGCCCAATGAGGCAGTGCTTTGCTTTATGGTGTGCGTAAATGAGCCTCAGGTCGTTGTTGACTTCAGTGACAACATTTGTTTTGTAAAGTGTCTGATCATAACTGAACCTTGTTCTAGGATCTCTCAAAAAGTCAGCTATTTCAGTCTCTGTAGCTCTTATGTTAGCTACACCTGCCATGCACTGAATCACACTGCCCATTTTCTCTAGTGTCCAGACCTCATCGTTTTTCTCCAACACCTTCCAGCTCAGTTTCTCCGGACATACAGACGAGAACCGGACAGCCTCCAATACATTAATGTACTCTCTGAAGAGGGAAGCAGCTGCACTATTTCCCATCGTAACATAATCAGAAACATCCTCCAAGCTTTCCTCATGGTCATCACCATCCAGACTCCAGAAAAAGAGGTCAGGTCGATTTTCCTCATCAAATTGCGAATCTCTTGCTACTTCTCCTGAATTGATATCCAGTCGAGAGCTCTCATCAGAGTAAGTACGGGTCACCACCCTTTTAGGTGTGTTGTAAGGCTGCCCTGTGTTCAATGAGGCCAAGTTCATGTCCAGTGACTCATCCAATGGTATTTCCTCAACAGCAAAGGGGTCCTGTTCATCTAATGGTAAATCCTGGTAAAACCTACTTTTCCTACTGTCCATATTTTCAAGGTGTTCCCGAAGCTGGATCAGGATCAAAGTCTGTTTTTCAATGAGAGCGTTTTTAGTGGCTGGCGGCAGTTCATTGATCCTCAAATCAGCATGCAGTAAATAGTACATCCTGAACTGATCCTCCGCCCCCTCAATAGGTTCCAACACAAACCCACTATGATAAAGCCATGCTCGCTGGACATCAGCTGTGCTTGGTGCGTAAGGATTGTCCAGTATGGAGGTGTATCCTACGAAATATTTGTCTCCTATGCGCCTAGATGTTGACAAGTAACAGATATCGATAGAAAAGTTAAGCATGCAAGCTTTGGTTTGAAGAGAACAGTAGTTAAACGAGGTCCGTTCGTCGAATGCCTCTAGTCTGTAATTTTCCTAAGTGATGGAAATATTAAAGCCTTTTGTAGGTTGTAACCATAAAGCCTTTTAATAAGTCGAACCAATTGTTTGATATGAGTTACGGTCTATCAACTGGTATAAAATTGAACAGGTTCTCTTAAATATACCACACATAGTTCACCATAGTTACACTACTAGTTACCATAGTTACACTACTAGTTACCATAGTTACACTTCTAGTTACCATAGTTACACTACTAGTTACATCTTACCTTGATAAGACTATCGTACTTGAAGCGTGTATTAAGGTCTAGTATGTACTCCACTGCTCCCCTCACATCACATGTAACTGTAGTTACTCCTAACATTACTCGCTGTTGTGTGAACTTGTCTATCTTGAAGTAAACGTCAACCCCTTTCTTTGTTACAGCACTCCTGTGAGTTTATGATAAGGAGTAGGAAACCAATGCACTAAATCAAGTAGGTAATTCTAAAGAACTGATATTTGATTTATATGCAACGTTATTTAAACAGAGTAACACAACAAAAGTTATCAAAACATGAGTAATGGCCCCCCCCCCCCCCCGGTCCCATTCATGCTGTGCTCACCTCCAACTATCGACTGCAATCGAGTTGTCAACGTCCGATTGATCAAATTTCACAACCTAGTCGAAATTTATATTCTATAAAAGGAATACTGTTCAATATGGATTTGGAATCAAAATGTTTCTAAACTATTCCACATAACTCTACTCTTCAATAGGAGCTAGCGATAACAACAATTTCACTCTTCAATAAGAGCTGGTGATTAGATAAACTAGATATAAACTAGATAAAAAGATAACAGCATACCTCGGCCATGAGTGTAGCGAGGGTTTGGCTGGCGAGAGTTTTGTAGTCAGTACCTTTCTCATTACAAGGTATGTTAGCCGCCAGTGGGCTCACAGGATTGCTCTGAAACAGTGTGTGTTACTTTCTCATTACAAGGTATGTTAGCCGCCAGTGGGCTCACAGGATTGCTCTGAAACAGTGTGTGTTACTTTCTCATTACAAGGTATGTTAGCCGCCAGTGGGCTCACAGGATTGCTCTGAAACAGTGTGTGTTACTTTCTCATTACAAGGTATGTTAGCCGCCAGTGGGCTCACAGGATTGCTCTGAAACAGTGTGTGTTACTTTCTCATTACAAGGTATGTTAGCCGCCAGTGGGCTCACAGGATTGCTCTGAAACAGTGTGTGTTATTTTGCGAGTAACAATTTGTTATACGATAAGACATTACTTGTTGTTAAAATCAATTTAGATGTCAGACACTTTGGCAGTCTTCGCTATCGCATCATGAGCGAACAAAGATATATAAAAATGTCAGTTAAACTGAAAATCGAAATTTATTTATAAAAGAATAGCGGTACATACTGAGACACAAAATGTTCGAGAAATTGGAAAGGCTTCAGAAAAATTGGAGGGCTAGTAAACTTCATTAAGTATATTTTTTTGCACTTATTAATTCACGTAGTCATGATTTCAACTTATCTGTGAATTTCGACTTTGGATATTCCACCTTCAGCAGTAATTTACTGAATAATTCAAATCTTGGCACATTTTAACAGTACCATTTGTTTTCCTTCTAGATTTTGTGCTTGCTTGGTCCCACGAGCATGTAACGTGAGTGTGTACATTGCTTGATACTCATCACTATTTGTACACACCAATTTGAAATCAATTATGTTTCATCGTGCACAGTTTGAGCTGCCAGCTGCATCTTGTACTGATTTTTCAGCTGTGACTGACATATCACGACTGTGTATCAAGAGATATTGTGTGTTTCTTTCTTTATAATGCAGTTACTAGTATCTAGTCCCCAAGGAGATAAGAAATACATCGCTCTATCAAGATTTTCTGGCTAATGAATTCGGCGATTATCTGCGTTCTACATAAAAAAGAAAAGGAGGATGTGTTACCTCGTTCATCACATGTATAGATAAAGAAAAGGAGGATGTGTTACCTCTTTCATCACATGTATAGATAAAGAAAAGGAGGATGTGTTACCTCGTTCATCACATGTACAGATAAAGAAAAGGAGGATGTGTTACCTCGTTCATCACGTGTACAGATAAAGAAAAGGAGGATGTGTTACATCGTTCATCACATGTATAGATAAAGAAAAGGAGGATGTGTTACCTCGTTCATCACATGTACAGATAAAGAAAAGGAGGATGTGTTACCTCGTTCATCACATGTACAGATAAAGAAAAGGAGGATGTGTTACCTCGTTCATCACATGTATAGATAAAGAAAAGGAGGATGTGTTACCTCGTTCATCACATGTATAGATAAAGAAAAGGAGGATGTGTTACCTCGTTCATCACATGTACAGATAAAGAAAAGGAGGATGTGTTACCTCGTTCATCACATGTATAGATAAAGAAAAGGAGGATGTGTTACCTCGTTCATCACATGTATAGATAAAGAAAAGGAGGATGTGTTACCTCGTTCATCACATGTATAGATAAAGAAAAGGAGGATGTGTTACCTCGTTCATCACATGTACAGATAAAGAAAAGGAGGATGTGTTACCTCGTTCATCACATGTACAGATAAAGAAAAGGAGGATGTGTTACCTCGTTCATCACATGTACAGATAAAGAAAAGGAGGATGTGTTACCTCGTTCATCACATGTATAGATAAAGAAAAGGAGGATGTGTTACCTCGTTCATCACATGTATAGATAAAGAAAAGGAGGATGTGTTACCTCGTTCATCACATGTACAGATAAAGAAAAGGAGGATGTGTTACCTCGTTCATCACATGTATAGATAAAGAAAAGGAGGATGTGTTACCTCGTTCATCACATGTATAGATAAAGAAAAGGAGGATGTGTTACCTCGTTCATCACATGTATAGATAAAGAAAAGGAGGATGTGTTACCTCGTTCATCACATGTACAGATAAAGAAAAGGAGGATGTGTTACTTTGTTCATCACATGTACAGATAAAGAAAAGGAGGATGTGTTACCTCGTTCATCACATGTATAGATAAAGAAAAGGAGGATGTGTTACCTCGTTCATCACATGTATAGATAAAGAAAAGGAGGATGTGTTACCTCGTTCATCACATGTACAGATAAAGAAAAGGAGGATGTGTTACCTCGTTCATCACATGTATAGATAAAGAAAAGGAGGATGTGTTACCTCGTTCATCACATGTATAGATAAAGAAAAGGAGGATGTGTTACCTCGTTCATCACATGTATAGATAAAGAAAAGGAGGATGTGTTACCTCGTTCATCACATGTATAGATAAAGAAAAGGAGGATGTGTTACCTCGTTCATCACATGTATAGATAAAGAAAAGGAGGATGTGTTACCTCGTTCATCATTATGAGCAGTTTTCTCAAGAGAGCGATTATGGCATTGACATAGATTTTCGTGATGATTGTTTTTCAAGTCTTGTGTTTAGTAGAGAAGATGTTCTGTTGATTCTTAAAAAGTTAAATCCTAACAAGGCCCCTGGCCCTGATGGGATTCATGGGAGAGTCCTCAAAAACTGTGCCCAAAGCCTTGCATACCCACTTAGTGTTTTATTTAACCTGTCTTTCTCGAGCGGATGCATACCCCCTGATTGGAAGCTGGCACTTGTAGTACCAGTGCACAAAAAGGGCGATAAGTCTTCGGTTGAGAACTACAGGCCTATCTCGTTAACATCTCTTGTAATGAAAGTCTTTGAAAGGTGCATAAAGACTGCATTATACGCTGCGTGTTCTGATCTGTTGGATGACCGACAACACGGTCTTGTTAATGAACGCTCATGCACAACCCAAATGATACCTTTCACAGACAATCTTGCACTTGCATTGAATAACAGGTCCAGGACTGATATAATATATTTTGATTTTGCGAAAGCCTTTGATAGCGTTTCGCATGACCTCATTTTAAGTAAATTAAAGAATATTTTTAATGTCGATGGACTAATGCTTAAATTTATTAAGTCCTATCTTGAGGGGCGACAACAACAAGTAGTGATAGGAGGCCAAACGTCTTCTTCTCTACCAGTTCGGTCTGGTGTCCCTCAAGGTTCTATACTCGGCCCTTTATTGTTTGTAATATTTATAAATGACATGTTCTCCTGTGTCTCTGAAGGCACCAATATCGCCCTTTATGCAGATGACACTAAAATTTGGAGGGAGATTCTTGGTTACCCTGACCATCACATAATCCAAAATGACATCAATAGATTATATGATTGGTCAGTGAGAAATCGAATGAAGTTCCACCCACAAAAGTGCAAAGCCCTCTCTGTGTCCCTGCAAAAAAACGTGCTGGATAACTTGCCATTCAATACCTTCTTTTATAAACTTTCTGGAAGTGATATTGACTTTGTGCCCTCTCAGTCAGATTTAGGAGTCGCAATAAACTCCAGGTTTAATTGGGGTGCACAATGTAAAGCGCTTGTTTCCAAAGCTACATCTAGACTTGGACTACTTAAGAGAACATGTCATTTCACTACTGATAAAAGGCAGAAAAGATCGTTCTATTTAGCGTTAATTAGGTCTATATTTGAACATTGTTCTGTCATATGGTCCCCTCAATCTGCAACTCATCTTCAACAGTTTGTTGCTATCCAAAAGAAGGCTATTAAATGGATCAATGGTGAACCTTACTCCAGTTATAATGACGATAAACTTGCTACAGAGCAAAAGAAACTAAATATTCTCCCTGTTAAACAGAAGTTTATTTATAACGATCTTATGACCTTCTATAAAATAGTGAATAGCATAATTCCAGTTTCGCTCCCTACATATATAGTCCTATGCCGTCCAGAGGGCACCCGATACACTAGGCACAATGCTCAAATAATTGATATGTCGGATACTTCAACTTACATGAGTACCACTGTGCCCTGCTCGGATGCCTTCCGAAATAGCTTTTTTCGTAGATCTATGCTGAATTGGAATAGTCTACCAGTATGTATCCGGCAGTCAGAGCGGATTTCTACTTTTAAGGCCAAACTGATCAAGTACCTCTGGGCTGCCGATACTGTCTGGCCAGATTAGCTCATCAGTCTTATGAGTCTCAGAAATTTGTTTTTGTTGGTTACAATTCTGTCCGTCCAATTTCCTATCTGCTTGTACTTTTCTTATTTCTTTATCAGTTGTGACGGAATTGTAATGAACAAAATCCTTATAATTATTTATGATATGTTTGATTTCTTGTTAATGTTTGTCATTCAAATTTGGTAGACGGCCCCAACGTTAATGTGGCTCTTGCTATGTGTTGGTTCAGCCGAATTAAGGGCACTTTCAAAAACATCTGTCACGGAAAAAATGTTAAAATTTGTCAAAAATCAGTTTTTGTGGCATAATTTGGTGGATAATTTTTGGAACGGGATGAAACTCCAGGATTTGGTGTGCTATACCCTAACCTTTACTATCTGCCACTTTTTGTTTCGATTTAGGGCTAAATCTGGTGGATAAAAGTAAAACAGACCAATCCACTTCAGGTGGCCTTTAAAAATATTTAATTCCATCTAAACTCCTAAAATATGATTGAGACTTATAAATAATCGTTATAACTTCACAATTTCATATGTAGGGCCGGGATTTTTCTTAAGGGCCAAATTTGGTGGATATATTTTTTTACCTCTTTTTTAAGACTGTTATTTGTTAGCTAACATCAATTTACTGGTCTTAAAATGGTGCAAAGGCAATGTTAAATGAATGGCACCAACTTAGAGTTCGAGATTTAAGTTTAAAGGCTATTTTTGGTGGATATAAGTCAATATTAATTAATTAAACACGTAAATGCTACCAAAATATCAATAAATAAGACATCATCATGATTAGAAACAGTTGATAAAGATAAAATATATGATGTTGAACATTAATGTAAAAGGTAGTATGGTATTTTAAGCTTTTAGGGCCAATTTGGTGGATAAATAACTCAAAAATACTTAAAATATCGACCTGGATATTTTGATATCCATCAATTTTGACCTTAAAAGTCGGCTTGAGCTTATCACATTTTGTGCTGAACAAGAAAAAGGTCTAAACAAACCAATATCAGTGTATGATTTCATAATTGAGCAAATCTAAGGCCAGAAATAGTGGATAAAAAAGCAAATTTAACCGTTTTTAAGCTAATTTCTTAGGCATTTATCCACCAAAAACGGCCCTAAATGGAGAATGTTTGGAACGTTTACTTGAAACTATAGGCCTTCTTTACGACCTCAGAGCAATGATTTTCAGCTCTTTCGACCTTAAGATATAATTATTGGGCTTTGAAAGTGGATCACATACGTTATCAGTAAAGAAATCGTTATTTCAATCGCTGAGGTAGGTTATTCACATTTAATATCCACCAATTTTAACCTTAAAAGTCGTCTTGGACTGAGAATTCTTTTGAACTGACTCAGCAAAGGGGATCTTCTATCTAGAAACAGTTGTAGTTTTATGATAGAACACATCTTGGGCCAAAAAAAGTGGATGAAAAATCAAATTTTCCCGTTTGTGTGCTTTTATCCACCAAAAACGGCTCTAAAGGCTGAAAGGAGACATTTTGTTAAGTTCGTATGAAACTATATCCATTCATTATGGCCCTAGAGCAATAATTGTATACATTTTCAGCTTCTAGAGGAGATAATTGGGGTCTAACAATGGATAACCTGCATTATTGACTCAGAAATTGACTTAAAATTAAATCAATCTTGAAGCTCCAATATATCCACCAAAAATGGCCTAAAAATTAAATCTTCTATGCTATCATAAACTTGAAACGATTTCCAACCTGATCCGTTCACTGAGTAAAGCTGGTCAACTTGTTGACCAATATAATTTTCTCAGTTGAAAATTTTCGGTATTGAATTTTATTTCATCTTTTTATTATCCACCATATCTAGCCTTAAAATTGAAATCTTTCTTTATTTTCGCCTTTTATCATAGAGGCATATCGATTTGCTACAATTCTATCTTTAAATAATCACCATAAATTAACCACACGTAAAGTTACAGGCCAATCAATGATATATCCACCAAACCCCTCTGAAAAGTATATCCACCATTATTAGCCCTGATTTAAATGCGTGTATCTCTACTCATAGACATAGTAGACATTTTATTCTTTTTGTAAAAGTTGAACTATCGCAAATCCTATGCTGAAAAAAAGTTTAATCAAAATATTGAGTTTATCCACCAAATGAGAGCTTCTAGAAGTTGAAATTTTTCCCGTGACAGATTCGTTAACATAGTTTTTGAAAGTGCCCTTAATTATTATATTTAATCAAGTTTATTTTTCTCGTTAGTTGTCATCCGGCCAAACATTAAGCAACTTATATTGCAGTACCATTTATCATTTAGTAATCAAAATATGTCATTGTAATTTTGCATGGCTGAAATGTAACGCTTGATTTATATATATATAATGATTAATTGAATTTTCAAATAAAAAAAAAAACATGTACAGATAAAGAAAAGGAGGATGTGTTACCTCGTTCATCACATGTACAGATAAAGAAAAGGAGGATGTGTTACCTCGTTCATCACATGTATAGATAAAGAAAAGGAGGATGTGTTACCTCGTTCATCACATGTACAGATAAAGAAAAGGAGGATGTGTTACCTCGTTCATCACATGTATAGATAAAGAAAAGGAGGATGTGTTACCTCGTTCATCACATGTATAGATAAAGAAAGGGAGGATGTGTTACCTCGTTCATCACATGTATAGATAAAGAAAAGGAGGATGTGTTACCTCGTTCATCACATGTATAGATAAAGAAAAGGAGGATGTGTTACCTCGTTCATCACATGTATAGATAAAGAAAAGGAGGATGTGTTACCTCGTTCATCACATGTACAGATAAAGAAAAGGAGGATGTGTTACCTCGTTCATCACATGTATAGATAAAGAAAAGGAGGATGTGTTACCTCGTTCATCACATGTATAGATAAAGAAAAGGAGGATGTGTTACCTCGTTCATCACATGTATAGATAAAGAAAAGGAGGACGTGGTACCTCGTTCATCACATGTATAGATAAAGAAAAGGAGGATGTGTTACCTCGTTCATCACATTATAGATAAAGAAAAGGAGGATGTGTTACCTCGTTCATCACATGTATAGATAAAGAAAAGGAGGATGTGTTACCTCGTTCATCACATGTATAGATAAAGAAAAGGAGGATGTGTTACCTCGTTCATCACATGTATAGATAAAGAAAAGGAGGATGTGTTACCTCGTTCATCACATGTATATATAAAGAAAAGGAGGATGTGTTACCTCGTTCATCACATGTACAGATAAAGAAAAGGAGGATGTGTTACCTCGTTCATCACATGTATAGATAAAGAAAAGGAGGATGTGTTACCTCGTTCATCACATGTATAGATAAAGAAAAGGAGGATGTGTTACCTCGTTCATCACATGTATAGATAAAGAAAAGGAGGATGTGTTACCTCGTTCATCACATGTATAGATAAAGAAAAGGAGGATGTGTTACCTCGTTCATCACATGTACAGATAAAGAAAAGGAGGATGTGTTACCTCGTTCATCACATGTATAGATAAAGAAAAGGAGGATGTGTTACCTCGTTCATCACATGTATAGATAAAGAAAAGGAGGATGTGTTACCTCGTTCATCACATGTATAGATATAGAAAAGGAGGATGTGTTACCTCGTTCATCACATGTACAGATAAAGAAAAGTAGGATGTGTTACCTCGTTCATCACATGTATAGATAAAGAAAAGGAGGATGTGTTACCTCGTTCATCACATGTATAGATAAAGAGGATGCTGAAAGTGCCTTCTTCCCCATTGAACCAAGTGACTGCATTGATGACCACTTTCTGTTGAGCCGCGCAGAGCTTGGTCCTGATCTGGTAGCTTCATACTGCGCAGATAACCTCCTCTGATCCCCCTGTACTGACAGCACGTGTGGTTGTACTGACAGCATGTGTGGTTGTCTTGTTGCGTGAGGGCCCTCTGTGGTAGCACTCCACATGATATTAGTTCGGGGTATGATATCCTCCTGTATCTCCCTCTCCAGAGCTTCTGTGCGCGTGATCAGAGTAGTTACATCCTCTTGCAGAGATGAGAGCTGTGCAGTTAGCTCCCTCATGTTCCCTTCTGCCATGGTAGTTAAAAGTACTCAGTCACTAGTACCCAGTCACTAGTATCTAGTCACTAGTATCCAGTCACTAGTACCCAGTCACTATTATCTAGTCACCACAACTTACTTACCAGAATGCCAGTCCTTTCTCTGGAGCAACATTACTATCATATTATCAACAGATTAAACATGGAAAGATAGAACATTACCATATAAGGGTATGTTACCATAGTGACACTACCATATAAGGGTATGTTACCATAGTAACACTACCATATAAGGGTATGTTACCATAGTGACACTACCATATAAGGGTATGTTACCATAGTGACACTACCATATAAGGGTATGTTACCATAGTGACACTACCATATAAGGGTATGTTACCATAGTGACATTACCATATAAGGTAAACAAAGAACATGGGTGGCCTGAAATCACAACCCAGCGAAACATATAAAATACGAAAGAAACAACAGTAGTTAAACGAAGTATTGTCCCTGGGCGATGATTTCAGGCAGCCTTATTGGTAACATTACCTTATATGGTAGTGTTACTATGGTACCATAACCTTATATGGTTGTGTTACTATGGTAACCTTATTGAGTGGTACATACAGTTGGGTGGAGGAGACTAGGTTCTGAAACAGAGTTGTATCCAGCGCTTGCCCACGAGTGCATTCCTAAAACGGTGGATAGCTGACTAACTATTGAGTGTATTTAAAACAGTGGATAGCTGACTAACTATTGAGTGCATTCCTAAAACGGTGGATAGCTGACTAACTATTGAGTGTATTTAAAACGGTGGATAGCTGACTAACTATTGAGTGTATTTAAAACGGTGGATAGCTGACTAACTATTGAGTGTATTTAAAACGGTGGATAGCTGACTAACTATTGAGTGTATTTAAAACGGTGGATAGCTGACTAACTATTGAGTGTATTTAAAACGGTGGATAGCTGACTAACTATTGAGTGTATTTAAAACGGTGGATAGCTGACTAACTATTGAGTGTATTTAAAACGGTGGATAGCTGACTAACTATTGAGTGTATTTAAAAGGGTGGATAGCTGACTAAATATTGAGTGTATTTAAAACGGTGGATAGCTGACTAAATATTGAGTGTATTTAAAACGGTGGATAGCTGACTAACTATTGAGTGCATTCCTAAAACGGTGGATAGCTGACTAACTATTGAGTGTAATTAAAACAGTAGATAGCTGACTAACTATTTAGTGTATTTAAAACGGTGGATAGCTGACTAACTATTAAGTGTATTTAAAACGGTGGATAGCTGACTAACTATTGAGTGTAATTAAAACGGTGGATAGCTGACTAACTATTGAGTGTATTTAAAACGGTGGATAGCTGACTAACTATTGAGTGTATTTAAAACGGTGGATAGCTGACTAACTATTGAGTGTATCTAAAACGGTGGATAGCTGACTAACTATTAAGTGTATTTAAAACGGTGGATAGCTGACTAACTATTGAGTGTAATTAAAACAGTGGATGGCTGACTAACTATTGAGTGCATTCCTAAAACGGTGGATAGCTGACTAACTATTGAGTGTATTTAAAACGGTGGATAGCTGACTAACTATTGAGTGTATTTAAAACGGTGGATAGCTGACTAACTATTGAGTGTATTTAAAACGGTGGATAGCTGACTAACTATTGAGTGTATTTAAAACGGTGGATAGCTGACTAAATATTGAGTGTATTTAAAACGGTGGATAGCTGACTAACTATTGAGTGTATTTAAAACAATGGATAGCTGACTAACTATTGAGTGTATTTAAAACGGTGGATATCTGACTAACTATTGAGTGTATTTAAAACGGTGGATAGCTGACTAACTATTGAGTGTATTTAAAACGGTGGATAGCTGACTAACTATTGAGTGCATTCCTAAAACGGTGGATAGCTGACTAACTATTGAGTGTAATTAAAACAGTGGATGGCTGACTAACTATTGAGTGCATTCCTAAAACGGTGGATAGCTGACTAACTATTGAGTGTATTTAAAACCGTGGATAGCTGACTAACTATTGAGTGTATTTAAAACGGTGGATAGCTGACTAAATATTGAGTGTATTTAAAACGGTGGATAGCTGACTAACTATTGAGTGTATTTAAAACGGTGGATAGCTGACTAACTATTGAGTGTATTTAAAACGGTGGATAGCTGACTAACTATTGAGTGTATTTAAAACGGTGGATAGCTGACTAACTATTGAGTGTATTTAAAACGGTGGATAGCTGACTAACTATTGAGTGTATTTAAAACGGTAAATAGCTGACTAACTATTGAGTGTATCTAAAACGGTGGATAGCTGACTAACTATTGAGTGTATTTAAAACGGTGGATAGCTGACTAACTATTGAGTGTATTTAAAACGGTGGATAGCTAACTAACTATTGAGTGTATTTAAAACGGTGGATAGCTGACTAACTATTGAGTGTATCTAAAACGGTGGATAGCTGACTAACTATTGAGTGTATTTAAAACGGTGGATAGCTGACTAACTATTGAGTGTATTTAAAACGGTGGATAGCTGACTAACTATTGAGTGTATCTAAAACGGTGGATAGCTGACTAACTATTGAGTGTATCTAAAACGGTGGATAGCTGACTAACTATTGAGTGTATTTAAAAACGGTGGATAGCTGACTAACTATTGAGTGTATTTAAAACGGTGGATAGCTGACTAACTATTGAGTGTATTTAAAACGGTGGATAGCTGACTAACTATTGAGTGTATTTAAAACGGTGGATAGCTGACTAACTATTGAGTGCATTCCTAAAACGGTGGATAGCTGACTAACTATTGAGTGTATTTAAAACCGTGGATAGCTGACTAACTATTGAGTGTATTTAAAACGGTGGATAGCTGACTAAATATTGAGTGTATTTAAAACGGTGGATAGCTGACTAACTATTGAGTGTATTTAAAACGGTGGATAGCTGACTAACTATTGAGTGTATTTAAAACGGTGGATAGCTGACTAACTATTGAGTGTATTTAAAACGGTGGATAGCTGACTAACTATTGAGTGTATTTAAAACGGTGGATAGCTGACTAACTATTGAGTGTATTTAAAACGGTAAATAGCTGACTAACTATTGAGTGTATTTAAAACGGTGGATAGCTGACTAACTATTGAGTGTATTTAAAACGGTGGATAGCTGACTAACTATTGAGTGTATTTAAAACGGTGGATAGCTGACTAACTATTGAGTGTATTTAAAACGGTGGATAGCTGACTAACTATTGAGTGTATTTAAAACGGTGGATAGCTGACTAACTATTGAGTGTATTTAAAACGGTGGATAGCTGACTAACTATTGAGTGTATTTAAAACGGTGGATAGCTGACTAACTATTGAGTGTATCTAAAACGGTGGATAGCTGACTAACTATTGAGTGTATCTAAAACGGTGGATAGCTGACTAACTATTGAGTGTATTTAAAACGGTGGATAGCTGACTAACTATTGAGTGTATTTAAAACGGTGGATAGCTGACTAACTATTGAGTGTATTTAAAACGGTGGATAGCTGACTAACTATTGAGTGTATTTAAAACGGTGGATAGCTGACTAACTATTGAGTGTATTTAAAACGGTGGATAGCTGACTAACTATTGAGTGTATTTAAAACGGTGGATAGCTGACTAACTATTGAGTGTATTTAAAACGGTGGATAGCTGACTAACTATTGAGTGTATTTAAAACGGTGGATAGCTGACTAACTATTGAGTGCATTCTAAAACGGTGGATAGCTGACTAACTATTGAGTGTAATTAAAACGGTGGATAGCTGACTAACTATTGAGTGTATTTAAAAGGGTGGATAGCTGACTAACTATTGAGTGTATTTAAAAGGTGGATAGCTGACTAACTATTGAGTGTATTTAAAACGGTGGATGGCTGACTAACTATTGAGTGTATTCTAAAACGGTGGATAGCTGACTAACTATTGAGTGTATTTAAAACCGTGGATAGCTGACTAACTATTGAGTGTATTTAAAACGGTGGATAGCTGACTAAATATTGAGTGTATTTAAAACGGTGGATAGCTGACTAACTATTGAGTGTATTTAAAACGGTGGATAGCTGACTAACTATTGAGTGTATTTAAAACGGTGGATAGCTGACTAACTATTGAGTGTATTTAAAACGGTGGATAGCTGACTAACTATTGAGTGTATTTAAAACGGTGGATAGCTGACTAACTATTGAGTGTATCTAAAACGGTGGATAGCTGACTAACTATTGAGTGTATTTAAAACGGTGGATAGCTGACTAACTATTGAGTGTATTTAAAACGGTGGATAGCTGACTAACTATTGAGTGTATTTAAAACGGTGGATAGCTGACTAACTATTGAGTGTATCTAAAACGGTGGATAGCTGACTAACTATTGAGTGTATTTAAAACGGTGGATAGCTGACTAACTATTGAGTGTATCTAAAACGGTGGATAGCTGACTAACTATTGAGTGTATCTAAAACGGTGGATAGCTGACTAACTATTGAGTGTATTTAAAACGGTGGATAGCTGACTAACTATTGAGTGTATTTAAAACGGTGGATAGCTGACTAACTATTGAGTGTATTTAAAACGGTGGATAGCTGACTAACTATTGAGTGTATTTAAAACGGTGGATAGCTGACTAAATATTGAGTGTATTTAAAACGGTGGATAGCTGACTAACTATTGAGTGTATCTAAAACGGTGGATAGCTGACTAACTATTGAGTGTATTTAAAACGGTGGATAGCTGACTAAATATTGAGTGCATTTAAAACGGTGGATAGCTGACTAACTATTGAGTGTATTTAAAACGGTGGATAGCTGACTAACTACTGAGTGTATTTAAAACGGTGGATAGCTGACTAAATATTGAGTGTATTTAAAACGGTGGATAGCTGAAAAACTATTGAGTGTATTTAAAACGGTGGATAGCTGACTAACTATTGAGTGTATCTAAAAGGTGGATATCTGACTAACTATTGAGTGTATTTAAAACGGTGGATAGCTGACTAACTATTGAGTGTATTTAAAACGGTGGATAGCTGACTAATTATTGAGTGTATTTAAAACGGTGGATAGCTGACTAACTATTGAGTGTATCTAAAACGGTGGATAGCTGACTAACTATTGAGTGTATTTAAAACGGTGGATAGCTGACTAACTATTGAGTGTATTTAAAACGGTGGATAGCTGACTAACTATTGAGTGTATCTAAAACGGTGGATAGCTGACTAACTATTGAGTGTATCTAAAACGGTGGATAGCTGACTAACTATTGAGTGTATTTAAAACGGTGGATAGCTGACTAACTATTGAGTGTATTTAAAAGGGTGGATATCTGACTAACTATTGAGTGTATTTAAAACGGTGGATAGCTGACTAAATATTGAGTGTATTTAAAACGGTGGATAGCTGACTAACTATTGAGTGTATCTAAAACGGTGGATAGCTGACTAACTATTGAGTGTATTTAAAACGGTGGATAGCTGACTAAATATTGAGTGCATTTAAAACGGTGGATAGCTGACTAACTATTGAGTGTATTTAAAAGGGTGGATAGCTGACTAACTACTGAGTGTATTTAAAACGGTGGATAGCTGACTAAATATTGAGTGTATTTAAAACGGTGGATAGCTGAAAAACTATTGAGTGTATTTAAAACGGTGGATAGCTGACTAACTATTGAGTGTATCTAAAAGGGTGGATATCTGACTAACTATTGAGTGTATTTAAAACGGTGGATAGCTGACTAACTATTGAGTGTATTTAAAACGGTGGATAGCTGACTAATTATTGAGTGTATTTAAAACGGTGGATAGCTGACTAACTATTGAGTGTATTTAAAACGGTGGATAGCTGACTAACTATTGAGTGTATTTAAAACGGTGGATAGCTGACTAAATATTGAGTGTATTTAAAAGGGTGGATAGCTGACTAACTATTGAGTGTATTTAAAACGGTGGATAGCTGACTAAATATTGAGTGTATTTAAAACGGTGGATAGCTGAAAAACTATTGAGTGTATTTAAAACGGTGGATAGCTGACTAACTATTGAGTGTATCTAAAACGGTGGATAGCTGACTAACTATTGAGTGTATCTAAAACGGTGGATAGCTGACTAACTATTTAGTGTATTTAAAAGGGTGGATAGCTGACTAACTATTGAGTGTATTTAAAACGGTGGATAGCTGACTAAATATTGAGTGTATTTAAAACGGTGGATAGCTGAAAAACTATTGAGTGTATTTAAAACGGTGGATAGCTGACTAACTATTGAGTGTATCTAAAACGGTGGATAGCTGACTAACTATTGAGTGTATCTAAAACGGTGGATAGCTGACTAACTATTTAGTGTATTTAAAAGGGTGGATAGCTGACTAACTATTGAGTGTATTTAAAACGGTGGATAGCTGACTAACTATTGAGTGTATTTAAAACGGTGGATAGCTGACTAACTATTGAGTGTATTTAAAACGGTGGATAGCTGACTAACTATTGAGTGTATTTAAAACGGTGGATAGCTGACTAACTATTGAGTGCATTCCTAAAACGGTGGATAGCTGACTAACTATTGAGTGTATTTAAAACGGTGGATAGCTGACTAACTATTTAGTGTATTTAAAACGGTGGATAGCTGACTAACTATTGAGTGTATTTAAAACGGTGGATATCTGACTAACTATTGAGTGTATTTAAAACGGTGGATAGCTGACTAACTATTGAGTGTATCTAAAACGGTGGATAGCTGACTAACTATTGAGTGTATTTAAAACGGTGGATAGCTGACTAAATATTGAGTGTATTTAAAACGGTGGATAGCTGACTAACTATTGAGTGTATTTAAAACGGTGGATAGCTGACTAACTATTGAGTGTATTTAAAACGGTGGATAGCTGACTAACTATTGAGTGTATCTAAAACGGTGGATAGCTGACTAACTATTGAGTGTATTTCGAGCTTTTAATGATGGATTAATATTAATACACAGTACAACACCGTTATGCTCGTACATTTTGGAAATAGGCGTCTAGATCGTTTAGTTTATTAACAAGCAAAACTGAAAGCCTGTTCACTGGAAATATGGTTGTATAAACGTGTTGAAAAAAACGTAACAAAAACGTGCGTCTCATAAAAAACACAGATAAATGATTCACAACAAGCAAAGGACAAGCGGACGGCAGTGACTAGTTCTGGAAGCTCTGTTGAAAGATAAGGATCAGGTGATGTTAGAATTACTGGTATCAGGCTGGTCTAGACCCACGGTGTTTTGTTACAAGGTATTATTGGAGAGGTGCAGTGATATTAAAACATTACCATATAAGGGTATGTTTTATTAGAACATTACCATATAAGGGTATGTTATATTAGAACATTACCATATAAGGGTATGTTATATTAGAACATTACCATGTAAGGGTATGTTATATTAGAACATTACCATATAAGGGTATGTTACCGTAGTAACATTACCATATAAGACCTAAACGAAGAACACTGATGTTATATTATGTAATGGTGTTACTGCCAACTTCAGCTGTAATACTCAGAGCCAAATTATGTGATATCATCATAACTTAGATTGCAGTTTGAACTTCCACTGTCGAGAAATGTACAGACCGAATATCTGTGATTTCATGATTGTGCAGTGTTTTAATCTCTATTTATAGAGAAATGAGTAACCTGAGATGTAATCCTATTTAGATAAGAAAACAATAAGCCTGGAGCGCTGTCAAGAAAATAACGAAAACGGCTTTATTTGAGATTATAGATTACTGCAGGTACCATATTGCAATTCTCACCAGGGAACCATGAACGGGAGCCTGATTTTAAAGGGAAATTGTAAGGGAAAGAGATTTGTTGACTTACTTATGTTATAAATTTTAATTTAGGAAAATAATGAGGTTATTGATATATGATAATAGATCTTGAAGTGAAATAAAAAAGTATAAAATAATAGTCCTTGATCAAAATATATAATTTGAAGTTTGATGTAAGGTGTAATATTCTACTTCTTATTTAGGATGGATTTTGATGTAAGGTGTAATATTCTACTTCTTATTTAGGATGGATTTTGAAGTGGAGCTGAAAGGAGGCGCACCCTGGGGGTTCAGGATTCAGGGGGGCCGGGAGTTCCACAGCCCCATCAGAATCAACTTTGTGAGTATGGCAACTAGACGTGCTTACTTCAGTTATATATACATTTATATACAGTTATATATACATGTATATATTTATAAACTAATTACAACACTACAAATCTATTACATTTATTGAGTATTATGTATCGTGATGGAAATATTTTAAGCGGTAAAAGCCTGTCCAAACTCTGGCTCCATAATATGAAGATTTTGTTTTAACTTGTATGAAAAGCATTTATATCATAGGTATAAGATAACATATAATAGATATAATCCCACCCAGTTGAAATCAGGAGGTAAGGCGAGCAGTAGCAAGGCACTGAGGGTACTGTAACCCACTCCCTTATATGGTAGTGTTACTATGGTAACATAACCTTATATGGTACTGTAACCCACTCCCTCAGTTGAAACCAGGAGGTAAGGCGAGCAGCAGCAAGGCTCTGAGGGTACTGTAACCCACTCCCTTATATGGTAGTGTTACTATGGTAACATAACCTTATATGGTACTGTAACCCTCCACCTCAGTTGAAACCAGGAGGTAAGGCGAGCAGCAGCAAGGCACTGAGGGTGGGAGACACTGTGACCCTGATAAACACGAGCCCTACTCTCAACATGACACACACTCAGGCTGAACAGGCTATCAAGCGGGCTGGAACTTGTCTTAGTCTCACTGTTCACAGGTAGATTGTAGGGGCTTTACTTTTATTGTTAATTTTATTGTTAATTTTATTATTCATTCTATTACATTTATTATTAATTTTATTACATTTATTATTATTCTATTACATTTATTATTATTCTATTACTTTCATAACTTTTATCATTAGTTTAATCTTAATTTCTTCATAAACAACTAAAATACATTTAATCGTCGTATCTTTGAGTTCCTTCTTTACGTTTAATCTCTGGGATATATTGCACTAAACACAGGGAGACATGAATATTCACATGTTGAAACACAAAGATTGTACCAATGTGTTAAATCCAATAGCTCACAGTAGCTACCTGTACGCAGTTAAACTGTTGCAGTTTGCTCTATTTACCTTGACTTTGCTAAGAAAGTTACTACTATTATGTACTTCTACACAAAGATTATACCAAGATGTAGTAATATAGTTAGTCGCGATTGCAGCTCCTGTGTGATTATAAGCTTATTGTGATTCAGTAAAATATACCGATTACTCTTTAGTCACATTCTAGAAAATAACCATTTAAAGCAGACAAGACAATAAACCCTGTTTCTCTGGCTCTACATTTCCTTGTTCAAATCACCTCTTATCTGAATTATGCAACCTGTACTTTGCAATGTAGCTTCATTCTTTATCAGTATTTGGTTATACTACGTGCAAATAAAATCTAGGGCTTGGTTGGAAGGAATGTAAAATATTTATGTTGTAGGTGGATAAATTTTAGGAGCAAATACTTCGGTCTTCGCACCTCCTCTGTCTGTTTATAGGTTTTAATATTGAATAGCATAACATGTTTAAAGTAAGAGCAGGATTATTAACTTATTTATATATAATTAAGTTAATAAATAAGTTATATATATATGTTTATAACATTATTTTACTCTTCTTTACTCTTTACTCTTCTTTGCTCAGTAGCAGTTTATTTATTTATATAATGATATAACATATATAGCAATAACTCTAAAAGTATAGCAATAACTCTAAAAGTATAGCAATAAATCTAAAAGTATAGCAATAACTCTAAAAGTATAGCAATAACTCTAAAAGTATAACAATAACTCTAAAAGTATAGCAATAACTCTAAAAGTATAGCAATAACTCTAAAAGTATAGCAATAACTCTAAACGTATAGCAATAACTCTAAACGTATAGCAATAACTCTAAAAGTGTTTCTTAGTCTAGGGAGTAGCTAAGGATCCATTGGATCTATGCGATCTCCTCAGTCGACTCAGCCGAATGATAGGAAACTTAATTGAGGGTTAAATGAGGAGGGGTACCTGTTAAAAGTTCAAGAAACTTCCTAGGATACCCCTTCAGTGCATACTGTAAACATAGTGCTATTAAAGTATTAACTTTTACTATTCTTTCAGGAAGGAAATGCCCTCGATCGCTTCTAAACCACCCACTCTCGAAAAAACAGAAAGGTTTGCGCTTAAAATATTAACTTCAATCTGTGATTAATTTTATAATAAACAATCTTAAATATCCCTTCCTTATATATGACCCCCCGACCCCCCCCCCCCCCCAATAATTTCTTGCTGATTTGTGAATCTTGCTCAAATGTCAGAAAAAAACTTGTTTCTTAAATTTAGTGGAAACCCTGTTACCAATGTGTGATAATCAGGGACTCTCACTCTTCCTCGAGTATTATTCAATACCTCATCAGTCACTTCCTGCGTTGTATTACAGTATAAGGCTCATTCATGATATTACAATTCTCGCTAAATATCCTAATTAATGGCGAGAAACTTTATATTTAAGTTCACACAAGTTAACTTAACACTAAATTAAGTTTCTTAATGAAACTCTGCGCTTTTGGAGGAGGTATCGGAGCGAGATTGATACGGCCCCTAAGAATGAGGACTTGTGGAATTCTTGTTTGAGGAAGTTTTGAAGCTTGATATTATGAAACTATCTGCACTATAGTTTTACTTGATGGTCTCGCTGAAGTCTACAGGCACACTTGACGTTATTGTACAGTGTTGATTACATAATATGAACAACCAGTTAGTCATGTAATGGCTTACGAAACTGGAGAAGTTTGTTATAAGAGCTGTAATACAATTATACAGGTAGCCGTGTTTTTAATCACGGATCAATTCCACCAGAACACGTGCAGTACAGTGTACAGTGTACAGTGTACAGTGTACAGTGTACAGTGTACAGTGTACAGTGTACAGTGTACAGTGTACAGTGTACAGTGTACAGTGTACAGTGTACAGTGTACAGTGTACAGTGTACAGTGTACAGTGTACAGTGTACAGTGTACAGTGTACAGTGTACAGTGTACAGTGTACAGTGTACAGTGTACAGTGTACAGTGTACAGTGTACAGTTGCAGTGTACAATGTACACTGTACTGTGGTTTAATAACATTTGATGTTAAACCCGGTTTACACTAGATTAAAGGTTTAATATTATGCGAACCACATCTTAATATTATGTTACATTAACGTGATATTTGTCATGTACATGTAGTATGTTTAAAATTAAAACGTAATTCCAGAGAAATGAACTTGTTGCTGCTCAGTCCCACGAGTATGTATGTGCTGCGTCTAATGAACAGTGTGGACTGTGGGTATTAAAGAAATGCACGTGTTCTTGAATGGTATGGAAGATATCTAATTAAGAATATCCACGTGCTCCGTTGTAGAAACTTGTAGGTTGCAATCTCATTCTGATTTAGATACATTCCTACACGTTGCAAAAATGCTCTTTTCCTCATAATCTTACAGTAGTGGAATCTTAAAATGAATAGCTTAAATTATAATTTAGCATACAAATATCTCGACATTATTATTCGTGTGTACGCACTGATTAGCAATGTTGGTCACGTGACATAAAGTATAAAAGTACAGTTCTTTAAATAGCACATTTTTCGCACGTGGAAATATTTGCGCGGCGTCAATTACCTGCAGTCCGTATCTTTCCCAAAATAATCTGCCTTAACTTTAGTCCAAGTAACTGATACAAGATGATGAGCCTCACACAAATTCCATATGTTAAAATCACTTTCAGTAACTCTGCCCTTAAATATCATCTTATCTCTATTCTCTATAAAGCATTACTGAAAATATGTGCATTATTACTGAAAACATGTGCATTATTATTGAAAATGTGTGCCGGCCCGTCGCGTAGGAAGACTTATCTTCCTTGATTATTAATTTCATTTAAAAAAAACACACTAAAAATATTCAAAATATTTGGTCAAATTTTTAGAATATTTAACTAATTTTTCAGATGGTCGCAGGTTGAGTTATCGACCAATCAGAGA